AAAGTATATATATATATATATATATATATATATATATATATATATATATATTTTAAAAGTGTGTATGACCTTCCATCTCTATTTTGAATATCAACTTGGAGATTTTAAAAGGCTCAGTGCTTTGCTAATGACCTTAAAGCCATAGACATTCAGAAAAGGGAGAACTGGTAAGGGCAGGGAGGACTTCTGGGAGTGGTGTAAATGTAATGGGTGAATAAAGATAGGTGAAGAAGAGGAAGGAGGGTGCTCTTGGTATGAGGAATAACTTGAATAATTGTTATCAAAATGAGGGAAAAGCATGACAGAGACCTGACCAACCAGGAGTGAAGGTGCCCTGGGATGGGCAGGCCAGGAGGCTCCGTGGGCAGGTGACCCCTGAAGAGCCAGGACAAGCTTTGGGTTCAGTCTGATGGGAGGCAGTAGGGATTCGCCAGTGTGCCCGAGCTGTGGTGTATCCTATGTATTTCTCCTTAGGTTCTCCACTTGCTACTGGAACGGGAACCCTTCTCCTGATCCTCTCTGATGTGAATGACAATGCCCCAGTACCAGAGCCGCGGAATCTGGAATTCTGCCAGAGGAGTCCACAGCCTCAAGTCATCAACATCATCGATCCAGATCTTCCCCCCAACACATCTCCTTTCACAGCGGAGCTAACATATGGGTCAAGCGTCAACTGGACCATTGAGTACAATGACCCAGGTGGGAACTCGAGGCTCACTTTGGAAACTTTGCTCCGACTCTCGTGCTTCCCCTGTCCCCACCTCCACCTCCCCTTCCGAAATTCCCTTCTCAGCTTGCAGATGGCGCCCCTCTTGTCTGATGCTTGTTTCCTTGTGCCCTCTACATTGGAGGCATTCCACCAAAGGCCCCTTTTCTCTGCTGGGTGACCTGGTAACATACTGCTCAGTAATCTGCAACCCAAGCTGCTCTGTTTTCTTTACTCAGCTTTGGAATGTCTTTTGTTCCTTGTTAATCTTATGCTACAATAAACTTTTCTTCTCCCCTGGTCTCATCATTTATTTTTGTTGCTTCCTCTAGAACATGAATCTCTCATTTTGAAGCCAAAGAAAACCTTAGAGCTGGGCGAATACAAAATAAACCTCAGGCTTGAAGATTACCAGAACAAAGACCAGGTGACCACCTTAGAAGTGTATGTGTGTGACTGTGAAGGGGCCGTCACGGTCTGTAAGAGGAACATGGCTTATGCCGAAGCAGGATTGCAGCTTCCTGCCATCCTCGGGATCCTTGGAGGCATCCTTGCTTTGCTAAGTAAGTACAGCTGACAGGTGTACTTCGACTTCTAAAATGGGGGAGGTTTGTCACTTGCTGAACATTTCAGAGGTCAGTGGTCCAAGACTGGAAGGCTGCCTGTTGTATTAAGTCAACGGGGGCCCAGTCCTTCTATTTTATTGTTCTTTCAACCCCTCAGGGCTGTACTTCTCAAGCTCAAGGGCATACAGATCACACGTGCCTCTGTGTAATATGACAGTTTTGATCTAGTAGGTTTGGGGTGGGGCCTCAGATTCAGCATTTCTAAGCAGGTCCTTGGACCAACTCAGGGCAGGAAGGCCTTGGGATGCTGTCCTCATCAGCATGGTCAGAGCCAGCCAGCTCACCTCCTGCACACTGCATCCTAGAGCAGCGATGATCGAGGGAGCGGAAGTCACACGTCTGGAAACTGCACACATCACCTTCATTCACATCCCCTTGGCCCAGACACAGCCATGTCTGAAAGTTCTCACTCTAACTTGGTGACCATGTGCCCCATTCAAACTTAGCAGAGAGTGGGGTGGGTTGTGGGGTGAACAGTGAACATCAACAACTGAAAGAGTGAAGGAGAAACAGGATGCTGGGGAAAACGTGTCCGTTTCTGCCGTCATCTTTAAAACTGATACCACCTGAGTCCACCTAGGGTTGACAGTTGCTTTTACAGTTTCAAAAAAATCGATTTGTTGTTCCACTTATTTATACATTCATTGGTTGACTCTTGTATGTGCCCTGACCAGGGATTGAAGCCTTGGCGTATCAGAATGATGCTCTAACCAACTGAACTACCTGGCTGGGGCAGAATCTGGTATTTCTTCCAGGGGCTCTTCTTGTTCTAACAAGAACAAAAACAGCAGCAACCTTTCATTCTATGCAACACTGTAATTTAATATCCATAAGCAGCTAGTTGTCCAGCCATATAGTTTCCGAGTGATTATGACAACAACCCCATGTTGGTATCCAAATTTCCCGTATGCCTGGAACAGTGGTATCACTCGGTCGACTGTCTTCCTCTCGCAAGTATTTTTGGGTATTTCGTCTTCACAGCTTTGGAACAGTATACTTTCTTGCAAAATGCCTATCTTGTGGCTTTGAATCTTGCGGTGATACAGTATCTTCTATGTCATTAGTAGTGTATCACAGGTTGCAGACAGCATCTTGATTATCCGCAATTAGTTTCAAATTCTCTTGAAACATGAGTGAGTCCAAAGTGAAACTCGCCGCCCTCTGGAACGGCACCAGTTGGGTACTTCTAAGAAATTTCCCCCCTAAGTTTATGTAACCTCCTGTTTCATTGCAATAATGCTTCACTAGGATGTCATATGTAGGTATTTGGGCATAAGCATCTATAAAGAAAACAGTGAATTATATACAGGGTGTCCCCCAAAAATGTCTGCACACTTTGAATAATTATTAATCCCAATGGGTTAAATCTGAAATAAAGAAACATCAATGGAGCTATCAGTTGTTACATGTGTATACATTTTGGGGGGGCACCTTGTATATTTTTTCATTTACAATAAATAGTTTAATATTTTTTAAAAATTAAATGTTAATTGCATATCTTAGAAATATCCCAAGATCAGATGAAAACCCTGGAACTTAAACAGCTTTTAAAGCTTGCTTTCATGATTTTATCTTAAGAAAAGATAAGGAATATACCAGGTGATTTTTTAATAGTCTGTCCCACCCCTATAACTGATATGCATGTATCAATCTCGTTTAGGCTGGCCCAACCCTGCTTGCAAAACTTCAGTGGCATCAACTCACTCAGAACCAAAGCCAAAGTCCTTCCAGTGGTCCACACATCCTGACTACCCCTCTGTCTTCCTCAACACTTCTTTCCCCTTCACTCACCCTGCTACAGCCACACTGACCTCCCCCTTTTTTAACCACACTAAGCATGATCCTGCCTCACAGCCTTGGCAGGTACCATTTCCACAGCTTGGAACACTTTCCCTCAGATTTTGGAAAATAACTGATTGGTTTAAGATCCAGTTGTGAATTCAAGACCGCACTTGAACTCACGTATTGTCCAGTATGTTGTAATGCAGATGTTAACTTCAGAGGTGTGAGCATCACCACATGGCTTGTCTGACAGCCATCTGTCTGGTATGCAAGGCAGTGGTGCTCTGTGACAGCTGCTGCTTGTGGCCTTGAAGCCTGACTCTCATCACTGTCTCTTCCCCTTTACAGTCCTGATTCTGCTGCTTCTGCTGTTTGTTCGGAGGAGACGGGTGGTCAAAGAGCCCTTACTGCCCCCAGAAGATGACACCCGAGACAATGTTTATTACTACGATGAAGAAGGAGGTGGAGAAGAGGACCAGGTGGGTTTTTAAAGCTGGTAAAAATCTTAATGGCAATCTCTTTATTTGGAAAAAGCAATGATTAGAGGGCTGACATTTGAAATAGCTCTGTACCACTTTGTATATTATTTTTTTAAAGCCTTACTCAAGAACATAGACATTGTCACTGGCCATCGTCATCAATGCAACATCACTTACATTTATTGATTGCATACTGTTCTGCACTCAGGTGACTGAACAGAGGCACAGAGCAGTTAAGCGACTTGCCCAAAGTCACACAGCTAGGAAGCAGTAGAACCAGGTAGTCTGACTCCAGAGCCTACTCTCCTCATCATTAGTCTCAGGAAATGAACTTCATTCAAATTATCTTTGACATGGAGCAACTGATCTGTCTTAATATTTTGTTTCCCTTGAGTTATTTTAGCTATGCTAAACTGTTTTTGGTTTTGTGTTTTGCTTTTTTATAGATGTTAAACTTTAGGCTTTCTCTGTTTTTCCTGATTTGGAGACAGTCTTAACTTGCCTTACCCTGGAGTTCTCCAGAGAAGTTTTGAAAGTCTGCTGTACCTAGAAAGGGAAGCACAGGATCCATCACATAGGGTGGAAAGGGTGTGAATATTTGCTAAATAATCTAATAATTATACCCTATAAGAAGTCAATCAGGTATAACTGTCTCCATCTGTACTCACAGAGTTCCTCACAATCCTTTTATGCTATATTTCCTTCCAGTGCTATTTTGGACACTCTTAGGTTGAAAGCTCTCATTTCAGATTGTACTGGCACATGCCTGTAAATATCATACAGTTGGCAGTGAGGCATTATCTGGTACCATAACCTACAAACTAAATAGAACCCTGTGTCTGACTATTTCTGGTTTACTCTTTGCTATACTTTTACCTTTTCCTCCAAAGGACTTTGACTTGAGCCAGTTGCACAGGGGCCTGGATGCTCGGCCTGAAGTGACTCGCAACGACGTGGCTCCAACCCTTCTAAGTATGCCTCAGTATCGGCCCCGCCCTGCCAATCCTGATGAAATTGGAAACTTCATTGATGAAGTAAGTAAGCAAAGTCAAAAGCCAGGCACAGCTCATCTCTGAACTTAGAAAGGAGCAGTTGTGTCCAAAGTGAGAGAGAGCTTAGATTCTTTCCTTTATCACATTTTCATCTTGCATGATCTCTGAGCCCTATTTTTGTGTGTGTCTCATCTGAATTTCAGAAATAATAGCATTTCAAACAGGTCTTAGTGAATCTGCAAAGTCCATATGACAAAACTAAGAATTACTTGAAAAGACTTAATAGAATTAGAAATGAAACTAAAGAGATTCAAAGTAGATCCAGTTTGGTTTCACTAATGGGTCTCTTCTCCCCTGCATCCCACTGATGATTGTTAATGTTAAATATGTGTCACAAGTCTACCTGAGGGCCAGAAAAATGCTGCTCATATTGTATGTGTCATAAATGCATTCAGCTATAAATATCAGAAGCTTAAACAGATAGAAGTAGATTGACCTCTTGCAAATTGAAGGCTGCGGTAAGCAGGTGAGGCTGGAGCAGCCGCCTTCTACCTTCCTGCTAATGATACAAACGTATATCCTTTGTTGTCTCATGATCACAAGGTGGCTGCTGCACTTCCAGGCCTTGGGTCTGTATTCCAGTCAGGAAAAAGTGGGAAGGGCAGAGCAGAGGGCAAAAGAAATCTTTCTTCTAGCAAACTGTTCGTGCAAGAAAGGTGTTCATCCTACATGTTACTGGATTGTCCCTATCTGCAAGGGAGGGTGGAAAATGAGACATTAAATTAATCAGTTTAGGGTAAGGTGAGGAAGAAGTGGGGGTAGGATGAACCAAAAAAACAAATAATACAGTCTATCAGGGTCTATTAAACTACGTTACCTGGTGACTTGCTTAATTACTGGAATGATTTTCAGGGCTTGTCTGATGTTCCAGTCGCCCTCCCCAAGTTTGCTTTAGCTTCCCATAGGAGTTGTCACCAAGGACTATACAAAGCACAGCAGTATTGGAAGTGACCAAGCCACATCCATTCTAGCCACTGGATCTTAGAGAACACTGGCAACAGGAAGGGACAGTTTCAATCATCCTTTTTAGGTACATCTGGATTTAGATACATCTGGATTTAGGTCCTCTCCTCCATTCACGTTCATTATCACATCGGATTATAGCTTTTTTTTTTTTTTAATTACAAAACGGATATGGTTTGCTATTTTAAAAATATAAATTATGACAAAGTACAGGGTGTCCCAAAAAATGTATACATACTTTGAATGATTATTAATTCCAATGGATTAAATCTGGAAAGAAAGAAACATCAATTGAGCTATCAGCTGTTAAGTGTGTATACATTTTTGAGGACACCCTGTATATAAAGGAAAAAATTTAAGTTCTTTCTCAGTTCCTCTGACCCTACTCAGCAGAATGAACTGTGACCTGCCTGGCATTCATCCTTGCAGACCTTTCGGGCTGAAACCAGCCTGTGTAGATCGGGCGGACTGTCCTCATTGTTTCTAGCCTCTTCCATCCAGATTGCTTGGTGTTTATATCTTCCCTGCCTACCTATAGCTTACCGCTTTAGTTTAGGGGGAAAATATCTTGCATATTTTCCCATAACTTTCTTTTCATTAACGTATCACATCCATCTTCCACGGCAGTTTAACTTCACCTTGTTAGTGTTCCAGGGACGGTTGCATTGTCATTAGCGGTCCACTTTGCTTGGGGCACCAGGAGAAGGCATCTTGCCTAAGAGGACAGGTGTGGGGTTCCTTTCATCGAAAGATCCTGTTTTCTTCTTTCTTCTTTAGAATTTGAAGGCGGCTGATAGCGACCCCACTGCTCCCCCTTATGATTCCCTGCTCGTGTTTGATTACGAAGGAAGTGGTTCCGAAGCTGCTAGTCTGAGCTCCCTGAACTCCTCGGAGTCAGACCAAGACCAGGACTATGACTACCTGAATGAATGGGGCAATCGCTTCAAGAAGCTGGCAGATATGTACGGAGGTGGCGTGGATGACTAGGGGACTCGAGACAGATGCGGAGAGAGATGGGTTCCTGTACTCATGTGATGGGAAATGGAGGAATAATTTTTCTGGGGGCCTTTCAGCTCCCTTCACATGAGATGAATTTCTGAGGAAGAGAGACTGTAATCAGTGGTGCATCTGATTACAGGGTAGTTATAATTTCCACTTTGTAGATCTGATCTGTGTTAGAAAGATTTTGATGTACTCCTTGAATCTTTTTTTTCTTTCATCACCCTTTACAAGCTTGCAACTTGTGGATTTTCTTAAGGGCTTTGTCTCATTTTTAAAAGGAAGGGGAGGGTCTATGGCCCTATTGTTTTATATATACATAAAAATTTATTTTTAATTTGTGTGCCTTTTTAAATCCTATCACTTCACTGGTGTCCCATGTTCCAGTATCCACTCTTACTCCTGAATTTACATTACCCCAGACAGGAGTTCTCTGAGGCAGAACTGTTGGGCCCTTTTAGGGGAAGAGGCTGTGTCTTAGTCTGGCCATATCGTGACTGGGTATTGTATACTCTTAAGGCCCTTAATCGTTTTCTTTTTTTATCTCCTGAGTGTGTAACTTGAAACGGACATCTATCCATTTACTTGTTCCGAGTCAGAATGTTTGTTATGTGACTGTCATTATGGGGTACTTTGGTTCTAAACAAGGAGGCTTGACCAGAAAAGGTGATGAGTTTTCAGGTGCCACTCACCTTTTAATGTTTATCACTAAAACTTAAAAGAGTGATATATTTCGAGACTCAGAACAGTGCCTAAAGTGTTGCAGCCAAAGAGAGAAAAGAAGATGGCTTGTCACAGCAGATGGAAAACATGACAAGTGGGCTTGGAGATGGCAGGAGAAATTGTCACTGAGCCTGGCAATTTAATAAACTAAGGCCGAGAGTGGTTGAGGTGTCTCTACCTCTAGCCCTGAAAATTCTGGAAGAATGGATGAACCTCAACATGTGCTTCCTACCAGGATCTTTATACCATGGTTTGTACTCGCAGCCCAGAATCCCCAAGTGCTTGCTTCTGGTGATGTCCACAGGAAATACTGGCCAATCTGGACACATTTGCCCCAAATTCCAAGAAAACTGAGAATGTTAGAAACTCCAAATGTTTTCTTAGGAGCAGGGGATTTGGGGGTAAGGAGAACCTCAATTTGGATATTCTTTTTGTTGAAATGTGACCATCAAGAAACTTTTGACAACCACAGAAAAGAAGTTTATCTTGTTTTATTTTCCATCAACTGTTTTTCGAAGAAAAAAATCATCCCTGCAACCACGTCTTGGAATTGTCTTGATTTTTTGGCAATTTAAACTCTAATGTAGTTCTGTGTAGATAGACTGTCACTATAGTTTTGAGTGTATATGTGTGTGGGTGCTGATAATTTCTATTTTCTTTGGGGGTGGGAAAGGAAAACAAGCCGATAAACTTATCCCTAAATATTCATTTTTATAAATTTTATTAAAGAATTTTGTTAAATCATTGTCAAACTTGTTTTATTTGATTACACCACAATTCCAGGCAAGACACATGATAGATGAGCGCAGTGTACACATGGAGAAAGAAGCTCTATGTTCAAATGACTTCTCCAGAACTCTGTGTTGTTCTGTTGTGGGCAAAGAAACTGCATTTTAAGGTCACTTTATTTGAAAAACATCTATTCATGTGCATGTTGTAAAACCAATAAAATTCCCCTGCCAGTAGGAGAGGACTGTGGCCAGTCAGCAAAATTAGTATAAACCAGAGGTTCTCCATCAGGGTGGGTTGTGGCCCCTTCTCCCAGGGGATATTGGGCAATTTCTGGGTACATGTTTGATTGTCATGAGTGAGGAAGTGCTGCTAAACATCCTACAACGCCCAGGACAGCCCTGCACAACAAAGAATTATCAGGCCCAAAATGGCAATAGTGCCTCTGAGAAACCCTGGGAGAGGCCCTTGACTTTTCTCTGCTGGAGGGGTATAACTTTAAAATATTAAAAAAAAATTAAATTGGCCTGGCCTGGCGTGGCTCAGTGGTTGAGCATTGACCTGGATCCAGGCGATCGGGGTTCAATTCCTGGTCAGGGCACATGCTTGATCCCTAGTCGGGGGCGTGCAGGAGGCAGCCGATTAATGACTCTCTCATCATTGATGTTTCTCTCTCTCTCTCTCTCTCCCCCTCTCCTTTCCTCTCTTTGAAATCAATAAAGATATATTTTAAAAAAAAATTGTAGAAGATAACATTTTACTATTTTTAAGTGTACAGTTAAGTTCCATTAAGTAAATTAACATGGGTGTAATAATGGTGACATTGTTTACTGGGACAGTCTATATCCTTAGGAGATGAATGATGAATTTAGGGGTAAAGTGTAATGATGACTGGAAATTAACAACAGTTTGAAAAAAGCGTATCAACAGAGAGCACAAAAGCAAACACAATGAACACAACACAGTGACTGCACGTGTTCACTGCAGCATTCGTTCATGACAGTCAAAAGGTGGAAACAACCCAAATGTCCATCAGTTAATGAGTAGATTAAACAAAATGTGTATACATAACATGGAATATTATTCGGCCTTAAAAAGGAGAGGAATCCTGATACATGCTATAAATGTGATGAACCTCGAAAACATGACATCAAGTGGAATAACCCAAACATGGAAAGGCAAATACTGCCGTATATATAGGAATAGAAAGTAGAGTAGAACTTATGGGGCTGAGGAGGGCAATGGGGAGTTGTTATTGAATGGGAACAGAGTTTCAGTTTGGGATGATGGAAAGTTCTGGAGATGGATGGTGGCGATGGTTGCACAACATTTAATGTACTTAATGCCACTGAATTGTTTACTTTAGAACGGTCGATTTTATGTTCTGCATATTTTACCTTAATAAAAAGTCTGACATGGGGAGTGTAAAATGATTGTATAACATTGTGAATGTACTTGCCACTGACTTGTATGCTTAAAAATGGTAAATTTTATGTTTATTTTATCATAATTTAAAAAGTCAGGGAAAAATAGGACAAGGGTAAAGACATAAATAAAATGGTTCTATAGAGAATAAAATTATTCTCTACAGAGCAAGGGGTTGTACTAGCAGGGAAATGTGACATCTGAAAAAGACTGCAGAGAAGGTAGTTGGACCCAGTGGGGAGCCAAACTGACGGGAGGCCTGGAGAACAGTGCCTCCGCTTCCCTCTTGCTGGTTCTGTAGGTCCTGACAAAGTGTGTGGTGAAGACACCAAGACAGGAGCCATGCTACCCGAGTTCAAATTCTGGTTCTGTCCTTTCCAGCTGTGAGCGTAGACCAGTTACTTAACCTTTCCTTAGCCTGTTTCCTTATCTCCAAATAGTAAGATAACTGTTTCTACTTTGCAAGAGCTTGTGAGACTAGATGAGTTGAAGTGTATAAAGCATTTAGAAGAGTGCCTGCCTCATGGAAGTGCTTTGTTAAATATTAGCTTTTATTTTTATTATTGACCAAGGGGCACAGCAAGGGAGTTTTGGGTAGAGGAAATCATTTAAACAAAAGCAGGATGTTAGAAAGGGCCAAGCTGGACTGGATTTAGTGGGTCCGATAGAACCATTAAAGTGTTTTGAGCAGAACTATGTGACCCAAAGTAGTGTTCTGTGAGGGTGTATCTTATCTGCCTAAAAGCAGAGCCTCCTAAAAGAATTCAACAGTCATAAATCTCCCAGGAGTTTCAGAACCAGGAAGGATAGAAGCTGGCACCACTGGGATAAGAAATCACCTAAACACTTATTGTCACGAAACGATTATATCCCATTTAGTCTTCTAAGGGCTCATTTATCTTTCCTCAAAGTCATTCGTTTTCCCTTCACTGCCCTTTCCCTCCAGGGTCCCTGTTAAGATAGCTTATAAGCCCCAAATTCTAACCACTTCTTTGAGTCACATTTTTCTGTGAATTCTCTAGGATGAATCTGTTTTTTCTCTTGCCTCTTGTCAGTTTAATTCACAGGTCTCCATATTCAGAACCTAAGTAGGTAAAGTTCCCCTCCGACAAGGATCTGATTGATGCTAAAGGGAGTGGTAATATAAACATTAAGCAAACTTTAAGATAAATGAAGACAAGCTTCAGCGGTATCTTTGTGGAGTGCATGGTGGGGGTTATCACAGAGACTAAGGTTTTCTCACCGGTAGGGTAAGAATTGAGGGTCAATTATGGAAAATGGAATGCAACCACTCCAGTTACCACATGTGGCGTTAGAAGACAGGAACCCTAAACTTGCTGGGGTCTTTCCTGGGAATTCTGTTTCTGTAAAAACAGTCCTTGATAACTATTGGATGCCCGTAACCTTATTAGTTCTGGGCTGACCAATTTTCTTTCTGCTTCGTTAGGTCTCCCAGGGTTTCGGTACATGAATATTTTCATCCTGATATACATGTTATTTCATGATAAACTACTTCTAATTTCCTTCTTGATGTAGCAGTTAACTGTGCAGCTTGTGTTGGCAGGTTGTGTTAGCTGTGGGTTTTTCCCCCCTGGGCAGTAAAGGGGGCCGTAGAAAATATTTATTAAGTAAAGTGGGCGTTCCCGGCCAAGTCGTCCCCGCCCCCCG